ATGCTCAACTTTGGAATTCCCTCCCAACGCCTCTTTCTCCAAGGTCTAATAACCTCGCTCAATTCAATAAACGTGTTACACTCTTATCTATAACAACTCTGAGAGTGCTGATTGTTGCTGGCCGCTTGACCTTTGGGCCTGTGCCCAGCAACGGTTTAAAAAAAAAACATTACAGTACTGTGTTTAACTGGTGATCTATCAGTGATCTACTAGAGCAGGGGTGGGGAACGTCCGGCCCGCGGGCCGTATACGGCCCGCAAAATCATTTGGTCTGGCCCTGCCAAGGCAACCGCAGGCGGGACTCGAAATTCAATAAATCTAGGAGCAAACCTGGAAAAGCAGTTGCGAGTAGCAACATCATCAATACCAGCTAACATCACATGCCTCACCAAGAGAAGCAGTTCCAGCCATCACATTAGGGGTGAGTTAATTAAATGTTTGACCAAGTATAACAGGCTAATTTTTAAGTTGACCATTTGTATGGCCCGCGAATGATGTTATAAATATCCAAAATGGCTCTTGGCATAAAAAAAGGTTTCCCCACCCCTGTACTAGAGTTCGCTGTTGTGCGATCATTGCCCAAAGCGTCAACTTTTATATGCTTCTCCTTTTCGGGCACTGTTGACGAATGTGGTTGATTTTTCTTGTTATTTGTACTGTGCACTACGGCGAATGCAGTGTCCAATTTTGGCTTGTTTACTCAAAATTCAAGTCAAGTGATTTCTCGCTCAAATGGGCATAGAGGCAATTGCTAATCGCCTGTTCACAGCCCCTAAGCCAGTGGTGTAAAAATCCGCATTCCTATGACGGGGATGGATCTAAATAGAGGACGAAAACTGTTGACTTCCCCGCACAGTGGTACTCATTTAATTGACCCCGGAGAGATGATGCCTCCGAGTCAACATCCAAGCTAAGATCTGAACTTGCAACCTTCCGTTTACAAGCCTCCAGCTCTCCCTCTCGCTCTCCGGCTAATCCACAGGAGCGGGTGATCGATGAGGCTTAACAGATCACTGCTCTCTGCGATGAAGAACGGACATTGCCCGAAATGTCGCCCATTATACTGTACATTATTTAATTTTACGGCTGTGTTATTGACGAATGTATTTTGTTATTTGTGCTAGTGCACAACTGCCAAAGCAGCATAAATTACAATTTTTGTTTACTCTGGTTAGGGTTATAGTTTTGCAAGGACCATGATTTGGAGAGGGAAAAACATGTAATATAAAGGTCATAGATCAGTAGATACCGTGCTGTATATGGTAGATCAACGAAATGGTAGATCAAAAAAGTATTTGATCCCCTGCTGATTTTGTACGTTTGCCCACTGACAAAGAAATGATCAGTCTATAATTTTAATGGTAGGTTTATTTGAACAGTGAGAGACAGAATAACAACAACAAAAGTCCAGAAAAACGCATGTCAAAAATGTTATACATTTATTTCCATTTTAATGAGGGAAATAAGTATTTGATCCCCTCTCAATCAGAAAGATTTTTGGCTCCCAGGTGTATTTTATACAGGTAATGAGCTGAGATTAGGAGCACACTCTTAAAGGGAGTGCTCCTAATCTCAGCTTGTTACCTGTATAAAAGACACCTGTCCACAGAAGCAATCAATCAGCTTCCAAACTCTCCACCATGGCCAAGACCAAAGAGCTCTCCAAGGATGTCAGGGACAAGATTGTAGACCTACACAAGGCTGGAATGGGCTACAAGACCATTGCCAAACAGCTTGGTGAGAAGGTGACAACAATTGGTGCGATTATTCGCAAATGGAAGAAACACAAAAGAACTGTCAATCTTCCTCGGCCTGAGGCTCCATGCAAGATCTCACCTCGTGGAGTTGCAATGATCATGAGAACAGTGAGGAATCAGCCCAGAACTACACGGGAGGATCTTGTCAATGATCTCAAGGCAGCTGGGACCATAGTCACCAAGAAAACAATTTGTAACACACTACACCGTGAAGGACTGAAATCCTGCAGCGCCCGCAAAGTCCCCCTGCTCAAGAAAGCACATATACATGCCCGTCTGAAGTTTGCCAATGAACATCTGAATGATTCAGAGGACAACTGGGTGAAAGTGTTGTTGTCAGATGAGATCAAAATGGAGCTCTTTTGCATCAACTCAACTCGCCGTGTTTGGAGGAGGAATGCTGCCTATGACCCCAAGAACACCATCCCCACCGTCAAACATGGAGGTGGAAACATTATGCTTTGGGGGTGTTTTTCTGCTAAGGGGACAGGACAACTTCACCGCATCAAAGGGACGATGGACGGGCCATGTACCGTCAAATCTTGGGTGAGAACCTCTTTCCCTGAGCCAGGGCACTGAAAATGGGTCGTGGATAGGTATTCCAGCATGACAATGACCCAAAACACACGGCCAAGGCAACAAAGGAGTGGCTCAAGAAGAAGCACATTAAGGTCCTGGAGTGGCCTAGCCAGTCTCAAGACCTTAATCCCATAGAAAATCTGTGAATGGAGCTGAAGGTTCGAGTTGTCAAGCGTCAGCCTCGAAACCTTAATGACTTGGAGAAGATCTGCAAAGAGGAGTGGGACAATTATCCCTCCTGAGATGTGTGCAAACTTGGTGGCCAACTACAAGAAACGTCTGACCTCTGTGATTGCCAATAAGGGTATTGCTACCAAGTACTAAGTCATGTTTTGCAGAGGGGTCAAATACTTATTTCCCTCATTAAAATGCAAATCAATTCATAACATTTTTGACATGCGTTTTTCTGGATTTTGTTGTTGTTATTTTGTCTCTCACTGTTCAAATAAACCTACCATTAAAATTATAGACTGATCATTTGTCAGTGGGCAAACGTACAAAATCAGCGGGGGATCAAATACTTTTTTCCCTCACTGTAAATGTAGATCAGAGGGTAGGCCTGAGATGGGAGAAGAGGGATACAGATGACACACAGATGTAGTGAAATTTGAGAGATGTAGACACGATACAGATATTGGGAAATGAGGGAAGATAGGTTTGATGGGAGATTAGTTCGCGTTATTATGTAAATTCGCTGATTGATGTTGACATTCGGTTCACTTAGAGGCCGACCGAAACTGAATTTCTGGTTTCGGCCGAAACCGAAAGTAAAAAATTGACTTTTGGCCATTTGCCAACTTTCGAAACCGAATTTCGATCGTCCTCTAGGTTCACTCCTATATTTGTCATGAATCTGATTATTATTACAGAGGCTTTGCCCGCTGCTGTTATATTGCAGTGTCTGTTTTGTTTTGAGTGAGACAATGCATCTGGAGTGTCGGTGGCAGGCAGCTCGTAACGCGACACCGTGGGTAGGAGACGGACAGGGGCAGCTGCCATTGCGCGGGTGGTTGTGTTGTCCACCGGGCGCTTCTAACACGCGTGGACATCTTTACACACAAAGATCCCCCGTATAGCCTTAGCATACTGTAGGGACAAGTGCTGTTAGCGAGCACCTATGAAGGCCAGAACGGTGCACGAGGGGGTGAGTGGCCAGCACCACGCCCGACCGCCTTTGTTTACACACCGCACCAGGTACTCATTTGAGGCTGAGTGGACCTAGGGGAGGCCCGGGACCGGTTCAAATAATCGTGACCGGTGTTGGCTGTGAGCGGGAATCGAACCCGTGTCGCCGGGTTCATAGCGCAGCGCGCTAACCACTACACTACCGCTCCCTATGAACACAAAGACACGCACACACTACACACAATCACGTGTGAGTATTTACACACCACTCACTCATGTACACCGGCACACTTTCACAGCAAACATCTCCTGTGTGTGTACATTGACACACAGGCCCTGAGAGACGAGGGTCTATTATACAGGCTGTGGGGGTGGTATAACCATACTTCACCACGCTGCACACATCTGTACACCTGTAAAAGGGACACTCCTATGTTCCCCACAGCGCCATCTCGTTGTGTTTTAGCCTACCTGGCGTTGCTGTGAGGAGCGACACACGCGCGCGTGTGTACACAACGCACTCGTAAACCTATACGAATTGACACAACTTGTGCACCAGTACATACTAACGTATTTGCACTAATTATCGCACATTCCTGTACATATCAACACACCCGCGCACATTAACATAAACACACCTGTGCATATTAAACACACCTGTGCGTATGACTGCAACACACACACACCGTCTGTACGTAGTCAAAGGCTGCTGCTGCTGCTGCTCGTGCAGCATCACGCCACGTGTTTATTTACTTTTACACAAGATGACAAGCCAGTCTATTCAGGGAGTCTCTCCGGGTTTTTTTATTGCTTAGGGGGAGCAGGAAATTGTACACGTGGTCAGGGGGCATGGCTGGTGAAGTGGGCATGGATGGGTACAGTGGGCATGGCTGGTGAAGTGGGCATGGCTGAGTGTAGTGTGCATGGATGGGTACAGGGGGCATGGCTGAGTGTAGTGGGCATGGCTGGTGAAGTGGGCATCGCTGAGTGTAGTGGGCATGGCTGGTGCAGTGGGAATGGCTGAGTGTAGTGGGCATGGCTGGGTATAGTGGGCATGGATGGGAGCAGGGGGCATGGCTGGTGAAGTGGGCATGGCTGGTGAAGTGGGCATGGATGGGAGCAGGGGCATGGCTGGTGAAGCGGGCATGGCTGGGTATAGTGGGCATTGATGGGAGCAGGGGGCATGGCTGGGAGCACGGGGCATGGCTGGTGAAGTGGGCATGGCTGGTGAAGTGGGCATGGATGGGTACAGTGGGCATGGCTGGTGAAGCGGGCATGGCTGGGTATAGTGAGCATGGATGGGAGCAGGGGGCATGGCTGGGAGCACGGGGCATGGCTGGTGAAGTGGGCATGGCTGGTGAAGTGGGCATGGCTGAGTGTAGTGGGCATGGATGGGTACAGTGGGCATAGCTGGTGAAGTGTGCATGGCTGAGTGTTGTGGGCATGGATGGGAGCAGGGGGCATGGCTGGTGAAGTGGGCATGGATGGGAGCAGGGGGCATGGCTGGTGAAGTGGGCATGGCTGAGTGTATTGAGCGTGGCTGGAAGCGGTAGGGATGTAGTTGGCGGCGATGAAGCCCGGACGTTAAGTGAAGAGTGTCGGTTTAATTGGACCGTGGCTGGGTTGTAACGCGGTGAGCGTGCAGTGCGGGTTGAGGTTGGGTTGTAGTGGGCAGTCCGGTGCAACAGTGGGCAGGGCCGGGTTGGAGTGGGCAGTGCCGGGGTGTCGGTGGGCAGGGGACGGGGTCGCCATAACAGGTGGTTCGTGTCTACAGATCCACACCACGCGTTCAGCGCCGCGCACGACCCGTGGAGTTTGGGGGGCCGGGGGTATAAGGATAACGAGGAGGAAGGGTGCAGAAGAAGAAGAAGGCGGTGGTGGTGCTGGGAGACGAGAGGCCATGGCGGATCCTGCGCTGCGGCAACGGCGGCCCGTCTACAACGGCACCGGTGAGTTGGAGTCGGGGTGGGGGGGGGCATGAGGATCCGCGCGGCCGCGAGGGAGCGCGCCTCCCCCGGCAGGGCCGATAGACAAGGTCGAGGCACTTTCGCCTGACCGGGCCTCTGCGGTGCACTTTGCGTTAAAACTTAAATTGGTGCGCAACGAAGTGCAGCGACTTTAGAAATAAACTTTGTTTTAACCGTGGAAGTATTTTTTTTGTAAGTTCAGCTGTGACGCGAATGTATGTTTTTGCTTTCTTTGGCTTGTAAAAAGTTCAGTTGACGGACGGGTCGACTAAAACGCCATCAGTCACTTCTTTACTTTAACCCAAAACTTGTGTTACTTTTTTGTCCTCACTTTAAAAAGCTCAGCGATGTGAACTTCAACGCGGCAAAACAAGTACCGTGTGTGTACAATAATACTACGAGAAAGCACACGGGTGAAATAACGGGCTGGGTAAAAAAGCGCGCCAAAACGGCTAAAAAACGTCCAGTAGCTGGTGATGTGTCCCAGTTAATTACTCACTTTGATGACCTTGTGATTCTGAAGTGGTAACATTTCACGTAAATCGGCCATGTACTACTGCACAGTAAATATCGTAACATGTCGTTACACCCTTCCCCAGTCCGCAATGACCAAAGTGGTGAAGTATGGTCAAATCCCCATAACCGACAGGGCTGTAAATTGTCATTTATTTTAATTATATGGGACCGTTGAAGTGTTTTTCAGCATCAGACGGTACCAACAAGTTCAATGCATTTTGTCTGTGGCGCGTTTAATAGAGGCGTTAGATTGAACACTGATGGCACGCTGTCCCTTAATTGTGGGCACACTTGAGTGGCCACCATGGATTATGAGCCATGAACTTGGGACCCTTAGTGGAAACTTCGCTGGGTCACTGACCACGTTACAGCTACACACATTGTGGCACTCTATTGGTTTACTTCGTCGCATGTACCACCCAGTAAGTGAAATACGCAGCAGGTGTAAATCGTTATCAAATTGTCGTGGTGTGCTGACACAGAGGTGGGCCACGATGCATATACAGTATTGACAAACGTTTAGCTTATCTGATTTTTGTGTGCGTGTGAAAGTTCGCCGGTGTGTTTTGCTCTCAAAATGGCAAATGGCCAGAGCTTCGTGTTGTGGCCAATAGAGTGTTGTTCATGATTCAGGGTATTAACGTGTTGTAAACTATTTGTCATTGAGATCATCCACCTCAATGTAATCAATATAGCTTACAATAAATTACAGAAGGATATGGCATCTGAATGCAACTGCGACTCAAGCCACTAAAAGAAAAACAGTGGAACATGTTTACAGTGGAGAACAGGAGGTGTTAACTGTATATTGTTTTCAGAGAGACAAGCATTAACTGGGTAGAAGAGCGAGGTCCTGAACCTGGGCTTGAACAAAGGCGGAAAGTCAAGAACAAAGTTGGCTGTGAGCTGGGAATTCCAGGCAGCGTGAATGTATTCAGGGAGGTGTTTGATTAAAATGAAGGGTAAAACAATCCCTGCGCATGTATGAGTGTGCGTGTGCATTTATACCCGCTTATTCCAGAATTGCTTTTGTCTGACGCCTTGGCGTGACAGGCGAGAACGGTCTCCTGCACGGTGGCAGCGATGTGACAGAAGGGCCCCCCGCCGTGCAGGAGGTGCCCATGAGGGAGGCGCGTCCCGTGCAGGTGGTGCGGGCCTGCTCGGACCACTCCTTTGAGCTGGACGAGGAGGCGCTGGGGCGCGTGCTCCTGGACGAGCGCGTGCGTGACAAGGACGTGGTGGTCGTCTCGGTGGCCGGAGCCTTTCGCAAGGGAAAGTCTTTCCTGCTCGACTTCATGCTTAGGTACATGTACAACAAGGTGAGTCTGCGTGCGAGGTGTTGGTCGCGTTCGTTACGTCTGCGTGCGCCAGTCATGCACGTTTTTACCGTTTTGTTTTCCTGTGGTTCGTACGCTGCGCCGCAAATCCGTTAAGCCGAGTTAATTTCAACCACCATGGCTGACATCAGTGGCGAGTGATAGCTGAACTGCTCCTGAGTCACCCACACTGACCAGCGTGGTGAAGTATTGGCAAACAACCACCTTGACCATCACTTTGTGGGGAGGCCTTCATCCAGTAGGGGATGGATAAAGGTATGTAAATTAATTGTTTGTTTGGCTGAGCTCAAATTCACATATTTTTGCCTATTTTCTACTTTTGCAAATGTTTGTACTTGGAAATTTGATTTTTATTTTTTCCTTGTACTCACTGTCCAGCCAAAAGTACTGTTCTGGCTTGGACAAACATTTTATGGGGCACGGCAACTCTGCATGGGGGGGGTCTTGAAATTAAATACACAGCTTCCATGTCGCATCTACATTGGTTGCATAACATGTTGGGGAAATTGAGTGTAAATGTGACCGGCTATAATTTCACTTCATCACCTTAGGATTGTACTAGGACCTCTTCTAGGGCATGAGCCTGAACGTGGAACATGCCATGGGAAAAGTAACTGATAGTTGTATGCAGTTATTGTACCCGTGCAATGTTAAAGCATTTTCACATCAGGAGGTTAACTATAGAAGTGGCTGCTGATGGAGCTGCACACTCATTCCTCGCTCTGTCCAAGGGCATGCCCCCAATCCCAATGCTTCCTGCAGAATCCACACCTGTCATATGTTCACAGAATGTAAGGTGGTAAGAGTTATGTAATGGTATAGGCACCTGTGTCCCCAACATAGCAGTTGCTCGGATGATCCATTGCCTCATGGTAATTGCTTAATTGAGAAGCAGAGCATCATCATTATGACGTCTGCTCTGGGTCACCTCTAACATGACCATGTCCCCAATGGGAGTCCAAACTGATGATGACAAATGGTGCCATTGACCATATTACAGGCTATAAATGAGCTGGCTTTCATGCACACAATAGCTCATAATTTTTTAAAGTGATGCACTCCATTATTTGAGCCAAATATGGCCACAGCTACATCAAAGGAAACTCAGCACATTCGTAAAGATCAGTTTTTCCTATAATTCCTTGGTGGTATGTTCTGAATTATTCATGGCCAATCCAGATAAAATGTAACTTGGCAAAGTATACTTATTGCGTGCGTTCGTAAAGCCGCTCTTTAATTAAATATCAAATCGGTATATGATCAGCTTCGGTGAGTCTGTTAGTGGATTTTTTTACTTTAATCCTTGTTATTTTCCCTGACGTTGGTTCATATTTTGGCTGCCCCCCAGAGAACCCCCTCTGTCAGGGTCTAACTATAGCCACAGCCGTTAGATCTTGCACGGCAGGGACACACGTCAGCAAGTACTATTTCTAAATAAGCCAAGTTATGGGAGCATGCACATGGTGCAGGGTAACATCACAACAAATTCTGGTGTGCATTTATATGAACAGCCCTTTGTCAGTCCACTGCTGGATGAGGGCCTCCCCACACCATTCTTGTCTTGGGGGTTATTTGATCATACTTCACACCGGTCACTGCAGCTTGGTCAAGGCTGGGAGCATAAATGTGGGAACATAGCAGTACAGTAGAACAAATTATTATTATTTTAACTGCTTTCTGCAGTAACCCCGCTGCCTTTAACGCCTGTCGTATGGTAAAATGACCCCCATAGTTTGCACGATGTGCTGAGGCCCTCATACATCAATGGCTTCTCAAAGGGCTGTACATGTACACGTACAATCTTTTTTTAACCTTTTTTTTACCTTTTTTATGATGGTTGCCATTGGTGGTTGCTGGGCAGAAGTGGTAAACATCTGTTTCCAGGGTTTAAGTGGGCACACGTGCATGGCATGCTGGCACAGGGTCATGCAGGTCTCAACATACCTTTGTGATGTGGAGCGGCTGACACTGTTGTGACTTCGGGGCAGACGAGTTCCTGGCTCGGAGGGAACGACGAGCCACTCACCGGCTTCACCTGGCGCGGCGGCTGTGAGCGTGAGACGACGGGGATACAGATGTGGAGTGACGTCTTCCTTGTCGACAAGCCTGACGGCAGCCAGGTGACCCCCCGCTCGCCTTCGTCTTGTCCAGTGCCGCTCATGAGTGTAGTTTTCTTGCTTGTATTTATTTTTGGTTACAAGCACACTCCTCGTATTGGTGTATTGCATTTCATTATGACATGGCCCAGCGGTAAGGTGTTTGGCGCTTTTGCAGAGGTTCGTGAATGTAAACTGGCAGGCCGCCCTGTTATGACTGCGAATGTATTAACCGAAATAAATATACACTTTCTGCTTTAGATTGGACGTTAAAGATCCCTTGACGTTCTCGAAACGAGTAGTTCGTTGTGTGCCAATATCATGGTCCTAACCTGTCAAATTTCGAATAACACAACAGCCACTGGGCTTGCCCTTCGAATATCTGATATGAGATATGCCCTACTGGGAATGTGCCCAAGTGGATGTCCAATGTGGAAACGGAGCTATGAAATCAGCTCGTGTGTAGGTGCTAAATGGATTGTCACATTTTAGAACCAAGAAAGATAGTGACGACATGGGGAAGTCTTCATCCAGCAATGGATCGATCATAGCTGAGGATGAGGACAATACTTATATTTCATCAGAACTCGTTTTTTTGTGTTTCGTTTGTTGTCCTTCCCCCGCATCTCTGATTATGTATGACAGTTTTTATAATTCATAAACATTAAATTCCTGTGTTATATATGAAAGGTTTTATTTATGCTTGCCCTAGCGAAGCGCTGGCATTCATTGACTATTGATCTCTGAACCCGGAGCTGAGACTGGGGGATGGATTGTCATGTGACTCGTTTGCTGTGTCCGCGGCATGCTTTCAGGTGGCCGTGCTACTGATGGACACTCAGGGCGCGTTTGACAGCCAGTCGACCATCAAGGACTGCGCCACTGTGTTCGCCCTCAGCACCATGACCAGCTCTGTGCAGGTGGGGTCCCGTATCGCAGGCCCTAGAACAAATAAATAGTTGGAAGCTCGACATAGCCGATGCATCTCTTTTTGCCATTCAAATGATGGATAGCGGCCTCTTGGCACTATGAGGGTCATGTGGGTTATTTGGCCCTACTTTACCATGCCGGTTGGTGTGGGTGGGTGATGGTTGGGTTCATAGATGTGGGAGCATAGATGTACAGTTTAAGAATGGTGTATGATCACTGGTGGAGCCAGTGGGAGGTGGTGGGGTGGCACGTGCCCCCCCAATGATCCAATAGAAATCCCTAATTTCGATCGGATCATTGGGGTTTATTAGTAATAAATCGGCATTTTGCCAGCCCCACTGCCACTGTATAGCATATTATTATGTGCCAGGGGCTCTATGAGATGATTGGACAATAGTCTGAGTCCATAATTGGCAATAAGTAACGGCAAAGCAGTTATAAGTGATTCAGAATTGTGCGCAGTTGCGTATACAGTACACGACTTCCCTGAAGGCATCAACACCTTCAGCGAGCACGATGCCGATCACACAACGCGGTTCGAATTCGACCCTCGATCGATGGCTGCGCCATCGCCGCAAACGCATCGAATAAAAAGCAAGGGCCAAGTCCTTACTTACTAACAACTCCTTACTTACTAACAACTCCCTACTTACTAACAATGCCGATCATTTTTCATTGCTGGAGGGATTGCCCCCCCTACCTGAAAATCCTGGCTCCGCCATTGCTTATGATACACTGCCCTCTTGCTGCTCACCATGCAGCCCCACAGCCTCTTATCAACCTATTTGCACTTGGTGGTTATCCATCCAAGCACAATCTGGACTGAAAACTGCTTAGCTTGCAAATGATTACCAGTTATGGAACATTCTTTTGTGATTTGCTTCTAGGCTTGACTTGTTTTGAGAAGAATGCTTAATTTTAAGGGCAAGTATTTGTGCTCTGCTAGATGTTTGTCACAATCTGTATAGAAATAAATAGGCACGTTTAAAATTATTCAAACAATTAATTGCATCGTCGTGTTTTATTTTGACAGGTTTACAACTTAACGCAAAACATCCAAGAGGACGATTTACAACATTTACAGGTGCTGATCTGCATTGAAGGTGTTTTCTTTTACGAATGCTGAAATGTAAAATATTCATGATTGCTAGCACCCATGTGACAGTTGACTTATGCCATCCCGAGGACAGTTATGGGCATCGATGGCAAGATCTACTGCAAACACCTGGCCTTGGGTGAATCGTGCAGTGGCTACAAATTCCTGCTCTTAGGTATTTTGAGAACATTCTAGCCTTGTAGCAGATGGAGGATCAAGGAGCCATCAGTGTAGAATTTAGTTAAATGTAAATGTGCTGCACGCTTCACGTAAAGCGGAGATCTTTATCCTTTTTCATAAACGTTTCATTATGTAAACTGCTTCTATTCAACGTTACAGGAGTTCAAATGTGGTTTTGAATATTTAAAATTTGCAATAATAATGCATCAGGTAGGGGCACTGATTTAATTTGCAAACTCATTTGAAAATGTTAGTGTTGTGAAATTGGATAGTGAACTACAGTTATTCATTCACATTAGGCTAAACAATCGCCTTCTCATCTAAACGTCTGTCTTTCTAACAGTTGTTTACTGAATATGGACGTCTTGCGATGGATCAAGTCATCAACAAACCCTTCCAGGTACCTTTGTATTCATTTTTTGTGCTAAATATGCTGACATTACTGTTGCTTTTTTGTTAAAATTACATTGGTTTTTCTGTCACTCGATAAATGGTTCCCTCTCCACTTGTTTTTCTTTCATGAATAGAGTGCTTGCTCTTCTCCTTGTTAAATAATGTCAGTGCAAATAATCAATACAGTCATACTTTTTCTGTTCACGTTTACAGCATTGTCTTGTAAGGTTATAGCATTGCCTGCTATTACCAAACCTAATTTTAGGCATCAGAAGCCTTTGGTGGGCAAAATAAAGCCCAGATTAGTCTGGTGGAGTACAGTAGAGCCTAAGCAAGGCGGCCAAATCCAGCTTAAAAATCTCATGCGGGGCTGCTGCAAGGGGCTTTGAAGAAGCTGATGTCCAGGGGCAGCAAAGCATTGATTTAGTTTTACCTCCGCCACAAGATGCACGCTGGTCATGTCCGGAAACGTGTGTAGTATCTGATTGCACACGCTTGTTCTTGCTGATTGTCCATCTCGTAAATGCTGAGCCGCCCTCACCTCCCCTTGGCGTATGTTTTACACCGATAAGTATCACCGAATAAAAGTCATTGGTGGTGGAGATAGTGCTTATCGGAAGCTTAATTGGTGAGGGTTTTCGGCAAGCCTGCTAGTGCACAGCCAGTAGGCTAAAATTAAAAGCCCTGTGAAAAAAATCCAGTGCACATCTCCATTTCACTCTCGTGCAGCAGGGTAGGGAAAATTAATCTGGTTTATGATGATGATGGTGGTGGTGGTGGTGTTGTTCTCAACTGGGCTGTTGCCCCCTCTCCTCCCCCGCAGTCGCTCATGTTTCTCGTAAGAGACTGGAGCTTCCCGTACGAGTATCCATATGGCCACGAGGGCGGAAATAAGTTCCTTGAAAAACGGCTGAAGGTGAGATGCAAGTGCATGTTTCCAACTCTAAAATGCACACCTTTGTGATCTTTGTAGAGGCTTCGAGAATTATTTCATTTACTCTGTAAAGGGGGGGGGTTTAGTTGGCAACTCTTGAACTCATACGTTCATATTATTTGGGTCTTTTGGTAAAGCCCCGTAGATTTGGGCTACGCCCATTTCAAACCTTTATAAGCAGTTGTCTTTTGAAGCTAACCCCCCCTTTTCCTGAAGACTGACCGCTTGTGTTGCGATCGAAACGTCAATATTTTTCGTTATTTTTTCTGTCTACGTGGCTTTACCGAAAGACCCAAAGAATTTGAATTCCTGCAGTCACGACAGCTTTAAGTCAAGAATCATACTTTTATGTTGCGGCTCAGCAAGCCTTACAAATGGAAGGATGCTGGAAGTTGGTGTTCCTAAAAATGTAATGTTATCTCAGTCCTTGCTTACAAGTGGTGTTAATTGTGCTTACCTTTGAGCATGCAAACCAACACCATGTTCTTTTAAAAACATGTTTTGCTCTTTTTCCAAAACGTTGTCCAGATTGTGCTATCGATATTGTGTCATGAAGCAAAATGTCCAATAGAGGATTGCACAGGGTAGTGTAATCGTGTAATCGTTCATGTTAGAGATTAGCCTTGGAAGTGCCTACCACAGAGCTACCACTTCATTCCTTTTAAGTGGCCTCTGGTCCATACAGCAGGGGGCAGCACTTTCGACAGCTGCCAGACCACTGAGTGTATAATGTTCGTCGCACGACGGTCCAACTGATATGTTTAATTCGCGGAGCTGGAATTTCGCCAAATTAAGTGAAAGACCGAATGTAATGTGATGGGATTATCGTGCAGTCATTGGTGAGAGACCATCAACTCACTGCCACTTGAGAACCCGGTTTAATCACAGGCGGCTGCCTGGCTTCGAACCCTGGAACTCTGCGGTGGCAGCCCAACTCTCTGACCCCTGTGCCCCCTGGCCACCTTCCGACACAACGCAATGTCGTTTTGACCATACAGTTATCGGAGAACCAGCACGAGGAGGTGCAGAACGTGAGGAAGCACATCCACTCGTGCTTCTCTAAGGTCAGCTGCTTCCTCATGCCTCACCCTGGCCTCAAGGTGGCTACCAACCCAAACTTCGATGGCCGCCTAAAAGGTATACCACTTACTAAGGTGCAGCCCTATGTCCATCCACTGCTGGATTAAAGCCTCCCCACGCCGTGCGGGTCTTCGGTGTGATATGACCATACTTGACCGGACTGCTCAGTGCGGGTTTGTGAAGGCGGGGGGGGGGGGACCATGTATGTCGGAGCTTAAAGTTTAGTACAAACATACATGCTCTACCTTTTGCTGCCCACAGTGTAGCTCCACAGCCTATAACAACCTATTTTACGCATGTAGTCTCCTATGCAAGCAAAATGCTGGTCAATACTTGTTTTTCTTCCAGTTAAACTAGGTAGATGGGCACAGTTTTTGAAGGTCTCTGCGTTTATTTTGCTGTAGAGCCTGTAATGGTTTGTTAGAGCCTCTTGGTCCTGAAAGCCTTGGAAGTCTACAGATAGGTGGTGCTGTTTGCGCGATTGTTTCAGAGTTTAAAGTAACTTACAACAGAAGGACAAACGGGTGCGCGTTTTATAGTACGTACGTTTTCGACAAATTACCAAGCATGCTCGTGGCGTTGACCTCAAGTAAGTGCGCCCCTGGACACGTGTGCAGACATTGACAGCGAGTTCAAGCAGAACCTGCAGAACCTGGTGCCTCTGCTGCTGGCCTCACAAAACCTGGCTGTCAAGGAGATCAACGGCTCCAGGATCACGTGCCGTGCACTCGTGCAGTACTTCAAGGTGATTTCCACGTCTGCCCGGGGATGGCAGGGTGGCGAAGTGGTAACACTCATGCCACAAAGCAAAAAGGGGATAGTTTCGATTTCTGACTTGGGGGGCCTTTCTGTGAGTAGTTTGCCTGTTCTGCATGTTTCCTCTCCGTTTGTCGGATCCTCATAGGAACCATACAATGAAACTGGTGTTGGTCAAATATCCAAATGCTGATACATTTACTGGGAAATTGCTCAATGGGGAATACACATAGCAACATCTCCCTCTCCTGCAAAAAACTTGGCATTACCTTCCTGAGTAAGAATCTTGAGGCACAATGAGGCTCTCCTGGGGGAACGAGTGTAATAATAATTAATATAATATATATTTTTTAGATGTTTTGATGTAAAAAATGTATTGTGAATCATAGCATTGGCTCGTAAAACCTAATGCTAAGTTAGATCTGTGAATATTCACCGCCTGACGATCCGGTGAACTGCCACAATTCAGCGCTGCAAAGAAATTATTGTCTTGTATCATTTGTACCTTCTCATTTGATTTGGTTTTTCTTTCTTCTGTCTAGTCTTATTTTTTGCCTTCCGTTGGCCTAAATGGAATAGCATTTATAACTATAAAGGGTACAGACTGACCGACTGAAAAAATGTGTCTTAATTTAAAATGGTAAATTCTCACGCACACAATTTGACGTGTGTATTGTGAGCTATAGGAATGAATATTGATGAATCAATGCATCGCTACTTCTTGATTAAGACACAAAACACCTGTTGGGCAGTTTCGTATATATATTTTATACCGTTCTGTATATTAAGTTGTATTGCCTTGGGTGTGTTAAGGACCCTCGGCTAACTTGCCTGTAAACATGAAATGGTGTGTGTGGGTATGTATGTATAGTAGGCCTTCATAGCTGCTCGCTAACAGAACTTGCCTCAACAGTCTGTTAAGGCTATACGGGGGATCTTTGTCTTTGTAGTTTGCTTGTGGGGAACGGTAGTGTAGCGGTTAGCGCGCTGCACTACGAACCCGGCAACCCAAGTTCGATTCCCGCTCACGGCCAACACCAGTGACGATTGTCTGAACCGGTCCTGGGCCTCCCCTTGGTCGAATGAGCCTCAAATGAGTACCTGGCACGTACAATGTATGTTTGTACTAAACTTGAATGTGTAAGCATTGCCACTGGGGAGACAAAGGCGGTCGGGCGTGATGCTGGCCACCCACCCCGTCGTGTGCCGTGCCAACCTTCAAAGGTGCTCGCTAACAGCACTTGCCCCAACAGTCTTTCAAGGCTATATGGGGATCTTTGTCTTTGTAGTTTGCTTGATGCAACATAAATGCATTTTATGGTTCGACAATTTTTGACTTGCAGACGTACATGAAGATTTATCAGGGAGAGGAGCTTCCACATCCAAAGTCTATGCTGCAGGTAATGATCATTAAATGCCTAGTTAATATTTAATTTGAGCACAAAAAATAAAGTATAAATGCATATTTAATACCGTGTACACGCTTATCTAGGTTTAACATGCAGCATTATTTATTTATTTTTATTTAATTTTCAGGCCACCGCAGAAGCCAATAACCTCACAGCTGTTGCCACTGCAAAGGACATGTACAATCGGGAGATGGAGAAGGTAAGCATTTGCTTAAAAAACACAACCCTCAAACATTGCTCACTTCTTATAACCACTGTTCTCGCGTTGCGATGGGGTTAGTTCGACTGGATCTCCTTCCTCCACTTGTGTCACCTTAGCCACTCTCATGTCCGTGTTGATGTTTTCCTTAACGCTCGTCCGGGTTCTTCCTCAAATTACCTTCAATCTCTGATTAAAAAACTCTTGATTGTGATGTTTCCCTCCTCACTCTGCACCTCACGGCCATACCCTCCCAGTCTCACTTACCTCGCTTTGTCTGCAATACTTCCTACCCACCATTGTTTTTTTATATTCCCATTTCTAATCTTTCAGTGTTAGTCCATACCATGTCTACCAGAGGCAAATTAACTGTCCTTGTAGCATGCACAGAGTAATTTCTTAAATTTTTTAAACATTAAATTTTGATTTAAAGCTTTCGTAACTGCAGGGATTCATATTATTGGTTCTTTCGGTAAAGTCACGTAGAAGGGAAACAATAAAATAATACAAGTATAAAATAATAAAATTCTCACGACGTTTCGACTGCAAAACAAGCAATCACACCTGGTGATGATTTCTTGTGTTGCAGTCGAAACGTCGTGAGCATTTTATTGTTTTATATATATTTATTGTTTCCCTTCTACGTGATTTTTAAACATTATCATAGGTTTGTGGAGGTAACCAGCCATTCCTGGCACCATCAGACCTGGAGCAGAGGCACCACAATCTCCTGGAAGGCTGCATCAAGCAGTTCCGCTCCACCAAGAAAATGGGCGGTGAGGAGTACAGCAGGAAATACGAGGAGCAGCTTGAGTGCGAGATTCAGGAGACCTTTGGGAACTTTTCCAAGCACAACGACAGCAAAAACATCTTCAAGGCCGCGCGCACGCCCGCCACGTTCTTTTCCGTCGTGGTGGCCATGTACGTGGCGTCTGGCGTGCTGGGATTCGTGGGGCTGTCGGCCCTCGCCAGCCTCTGCAACCTGGTGCTGACGATGTCGCTGCTGCTGCTGTGCACGTGGTCGTACGTGCGCTACTCGGGAGAGTATCGCGATGTCGGAGCTGTCATTGACGAGCTCGCCAACGTTCTCTGGGAACAGGTGAGCGAAGTATCCCGGCACAACCGTTTGTCTCATTGTATCGTGTGGCTACGTTGTCCGTAGATGGTAGTCAAGCAAAAAGCATTTATGTGCTGTACTATGCTCCAAACTCTGTGTTCCACACCTTCACCAACCAACATTGACCAGCGTTGTCAAGTTGAGTCAAATAACCCCCCGTGACGTCCATGGCATAGGGAGGTCCTCATCTAGCAGTGGGCCGACATAAAACGAGTACATATTGCGATCATGCTATCGTTGTCATGACATAAGGCAAAGACGTTCCTGTTCACAACGGGCAGTGCACTGCTCTATTAGACGTCACAGAACATATTTCTGAAGTAACTTTTATAAGTGTCCCCTTTATCCACACAGGACACACCTGCTTATGCCCTGAAAAAAAAGTGTTTATTCTGTTTCATTGAAATTTAACTATTTCCGTCTCAAGAGCTGGAATTTAGGAAATTCAAGTGACAAAACGACATTTAACGTGGTGCAAATTACTGACCAGGCTGAAATGACTTTCTCACTATGCCTGACAATTCAGTTTATTCACAGGTGGCTGCCTTAGTACTTCCCATCCTTATTGGTGTCAATGCCATGTGTGGTCATGCTATGGATAGGAGGGCACTTTTCAGTGTTCACATTGTGCTGTTATGAACCCAATGTAAAGCTCCCTCTATTGGTGATGTTTAGTGTGCAACTACTTAAAAACACATTACATGTGTTATGTATGACCTTCCCATAATAATGGTGGCAGGACCTTGGTTTGTTGTCCCTGTCTGATGTGGGATTTGTAATGATTTTTTTTCCTATCCCGTTGCATTTTACAAAGTAGATGACTGCCATGGTGCTTGTACAGTGTTTAGAACACCACATTGCGGAGATTGCAGTCGCTCTGAGTGTTTAATTTTAACAGGCTATACTTTGCAGACGTTCAGACCAAAATAGGATAACCAGTGCAGTGAAGTGTCTTTTCCATGATGATCACAGTATATCGTTTGGCTTCTGCCGGCATGAGTGTTGAGGGGACACCCCAGCCCAGTGGTGTCACTGCATGGGATCGAGGTGCGTTGGGCTGTACCGGAGTAACTCTTCCCCCCTTGGTTGCCCTGCAGGTGATAAAGCCGCTTTCAGAGTCTCTGCTGGAGGACACGATGCGCCAGACAGTGAAAAACTCCATCAGGGCCGGACTGACTGACTCAGCTCGGGGTTCAGACAGACGCTAGGGCCACCGGGACACGTCCTCGTGCCAACACGGTGCCTCTAGCCCGTTGCTTGTGTCAGATCGTGGAGGCCATCGGGGGGGTGGGGGGGGTGGCCAAAGTCACCACACGTCACACAGGCTGTTCCCCTATGTGCCCTGCTTAAAATCATTGTTCATAATTCACTGTGCCTCTACCTTTGCAATAAAAATTGTCGGACGTCGTAACTAAATATTTATTCTATGTGGTCAAGAGACGAAAGATGGGCAAGGTAATTCACACTTAAGCGTGCTACTTAAAATTATCTCCATGTAATCAGCTCATGCCAGTGCAGTTGCACACCAGCAAAGGGCTTGAGCGCATAATCACCGAGCACCGAACAAAGTCGTGGTGAGCGTTCATTCAAACGTAAAACTAGTGTTCACAAGGGAAAAAAAACAAGTTATCAGCCTATGCACAAGAATACGCCACAATCTGTATCATCAGCAACGAGTTTTGTGCAGTAGCGGCATTGGTCACGAGGCCAAGCATGTTTATTTTAGAATCATAAACTGAGTGTAGTCTCACACGAGTGTCACGTTGTGAATAACTTGGCTCCTTCTACGTGTTTATACTGTGTTCCTGGAATTGTCAATCCCCGCTCGGGAACGGGCAGTTCTCTTCACTTGTAGGGTAAGGAACATTGAGCTGGGCTTTGCTTAATTCACTAAATGCAACGATTGCACTCTCTGTAATTGCATTGTCAGAACTTATCACTATTTTGCGTGGATAATTAATACGTATATTTTGCACAATTTACCCACAATCCTTTATGTATTCACAAGCCTAGAAATGTAATGTGTAAATTATGTTAAATTACAGGATTGCGAAACTTTACAATTTACCAAAATATTGGAGCGTATTCTACAATGTAGGCTGATGAGATCGTCAGACTAAGTGTTATATTCTGTCCGCAATACACGAATGTAGCATATGGTAGCTTGTGTTTACAGCAGTACAGTTGACTGCCTCGCAACAGAGCCGTGACCGCTGAGAATGTACATGGATTTGTCCGGGTGCTTTACCTGTGATCTCTTGAATGCAACAGGCCCATACATTTTCTTGACATGTTGGAACATTTAAAACCGTTTGAACATTGATATTTACCATATGTTGATACATAACTACAACGCTCTATACCAACCGGCGCAGCAACCACTGCCTGTCCCCACTGGAGATTTGTGAATGTACTCTACTGGTGCCACTTCCAGTCACGTTAGGTGACTGGATTAGACCCTCGAGCCAATTCACTTGTCCTCTTCAGTTTCAGATATCTTCATCATCAGCCATGTTCAGTTCACTGCTGGCTGAAGGCCTCTCCAAGCCGTTGCAAACTCTCAACGATTCCACGATGCAAATAATTCACCCAGCACCTGCATACGAACTAACCTAATCGTTGCAGCTCCTCTGTCAATGACCTGTGGGATACGCTCAGAGTAAAATTGAGCCTGTTTTTACACACGCAGCTAAAATCTGGAACCCTACCGTCGCAGGCAAACCCATCAATGGTGCTGAACTACTTGCTTGAGAGCAGATGTTTTTCATGAATACCCAGACATGGCCCAAAATGTAATCTCCGCTTCCACCCCTCGTTTAATTTGGTGAGCAAGAGACTCGCAAAGTTCCCGTTTTTGTTCAATTGCCACGCCATTTCATTTTTGCGAGGCAATTGGATTAACGTAGCACAGGGTCATTGCACGTCTGCTGTACGTGGTTGCGTAGCAGATGAAAAATTAACTCTTCCATTTGTACTGACCACTTAAGACGCCCTGATTAGGTCTCGCGTGATCTTTCCCTTGGTGCTTTCAGAAGCCCCGTGGCTATGGATGGGTTCTGAGATTACAGATGGATGGTTGGGTGATGGCAAGAGGCTTGAGAGGCCCAGAGAAGCCTTATGAGGGCTAGCTTTTGTGTAATGAGAAACTGTTGATCTTGCAGGTCGCATGCAGACTTGATTTCATTGATCCAAATATTGACTGAGCAGTCCATAGACATTTCTTGGTTGGCTTAACCTGATGACATTATCGTGGATTAGTATTGTTTAGGAGCAGTGTTGCTAATACGAAGTGTTGCATATGTTCAATACTTGTGCCCTTTTTATTTTTCCATTGATGAATACATGGGAATTGATATTTAACGATTGAATGCCTAAATAGCGAGTGATCCAAATACATATCTTTACTTGTGAAATGCAAATGTACACTATTTATGCTTAGTTTTTTTGCCGAGGTTAAATATCACTCATTGTAAACCAAAGTTTGTAAATTCCGCGGTTGGGCATTGCCTCAAGGTGCTCGCCTTCGGTTGTTGCCCGGGATGTGTTTGTGAGATGTTTTTTTGCATGCACTGTGTGTATATTCCGCGTGTGACTTGGCTGGCCGGTGTTTACTGACGCGTGATGGGGAAGGCTGACGAATCAGCAGAGAAGTCTGTTCGGTTTCAAATGGGAAACATTAAAAAAATCATTAATTTTGAATTGCATCTCGGTGAGTGAATATTCCAACACGCCTTTGCAATGCCTCGTGAGAATAAATGCAAACCAATTATTTATAGACCGCGAAAGCCCATTCTGACATCGTTGCTATCGAAATCAGTACGGGGTGGGTGTGGGGGGGGTTAATGGCAAAGCAGAGTGTTCACGAGGGACGTGTTCCAGATTTTTAGGTTAATCCTAAACGGACCAAGATTTGTCAGGTTGATCCGAAAGTTCGACGTCACGGGGGAATGATGTCACTTCTTTGGTGTCAGAAAGTTGTGTCTCCTGGCACCGGGCGACGTCGCGGGTGGTTAGCGTGGAGTCGCGTTGAAAAGCTCCAAAAATTTTCCTTTAAAAAATCGAAAACATGAAAATCCCTAAGCCTGCTTCAGCTGATACATGCATTGCTTTGTTTTAATATTAAAAGGGACTTGGCAGTGTTTCACGAGCGGGAACGTTAACACACCTGCCTTGTTCGTCATTAAGACTCTATATTTTACAGAAAAATATGAAATAATAGGGTTTTTCCCCTTTTTTCTGGCGACAAAACTGAAACCTTTTTACAAGGATTCATGTCTGCATTAACCACAATACCTGCAGTCAAAATGCAAACAAAAAACATACTATGATAATATATGCATTGTCCTTGAAACTGATTGCATTTTGACTGCAGGTATTGTGGTTAATGCAGACATGAATCCTTGTAAAAAGGTTTCAGTTTTGTTGCCAAATAAAAGGGGAAAAACCCTATTATTGCATTTTGGTACTGGCAAAGGAGGTCTAATGAAAAAGGAAAATATGAGTTAGTATTCTTTGAGCGGGACTTCAGTGTTAAGGAGAGAAGAGTGACTTATAGTTGGTTGTCACACGTCACAGTGTTAATGGAAAAATATTCACACAGCAAATCCAACGTCATTTGTCAACGTCAAAAAAACGATGGCATAGTGTAAAGCGTGATTTGCAACTAAGTTTGTCAGCCCGATAGCTGCTGTGAAAAATAACCGTTGTCAACATCGTATATTGTTTTTCTCTTACGAAGCAGTATTAATAATTAAAATAGTTTAATATGCCCTTGCGTACCATTATAAACGCAGTCTGGTAGTAATTGTTTTTTTTCAGAGTTTCATAATCTGTTTTTTTTGTCATTGGAAAAGTAGACTGAGGCCACATAGTCTCTAAATTGTACATTTTACAATTGACCATCATTGATTTAAGCAAGCCTGACTGCTGATCAGACGCTGGATGTTGAAACCGGTCCAGAGTGTGTTTATGTTAAACTTATGCTGCTGAAAACCTTCACTCCCAGGAGGCTGTTTGCCCAACAGGTGTGTAAAAACAATACTTTCATGTTTTTAATTTTGATTTAAAGCTTTCGTGACTGCAGTAATTCATATTCTTAGTTTTTTCGGTAAAGTCACGTTGAAGGGAAACAAAATAATAAAATATATATAAACAATAAAAATTCTCACGACGTTTCGACCATAACTCAAACCGTTTGAGTTATGGTCGAAACGTGAGAATTTTTATTGTTTTATATATTTTATTATTTTGTTGTTTCCCTTCAACGTGACTTTACCGAAAAAACTAAGAATATGAATACTTTCATGGTTTATGTTGCAGCGACAGATATGGGAATGTGTGTGGTATTGTCTGCTTACTCTGCATTATGCAAACTGCCATCGTCTGAAGTGGACCTTGTGAATACAGAACGCCCTGCCTCGCGCCCAGTCCCCCCCCGGCCAAGGTCCTCATTACGAGTGTAGCACTGTCCTAATGGGATGATGAATGGCTACGTTTGTTTCTGTGCCGATGGAATTTTTCGAGTTGGGGGTTTGTGAGTGGCGTGTGGCACACGTGGCCTAGCCGGGAATGGGTGTGCACCCGGAGCGACGCTCTTCTCTGCTTTGGTCCAAGGGTGGCAGCACCGCTGTGTGTGAGCGGACCTGGCGCCCCCCCCCACCCCCCACCCCCCGGTCGTGTTTGCTGGCAGTGTTTACCTCTCGTGGGAGCGTATCCGATGTCCACCATAAAAAAAAACCACCACACACACAAACCTCCCCGAGACGCACAAACCTAGCAGTTTCGAACCCAACACTGTGACTGTAGATACCTTTTAAGACAGCCCCTTCCCAAGAGATGCCGCCGTGGTGCAATGGTAAGCGCGTTGGAATCGGAATCATCGAAATTTTCGATTTGATCTCCAGGCGTGGCAGTTGAAACAATGGACCGGTTTTTTAAATCACCCTGCCCTATCCCCCCCCCCCCCGGCAGTATGAGTGGGCACACCAGTTAATCGATCGGCGGGTCGCGTTTGGTGCGGTAAGGAGTAGTGTTGTCTCAGCTCTTGCACGACGTCGAGCTGGCATGCGAGACTTGGCCAATGCCCTCAAAGAGCGCTCTCGAGAGCTTCATGTAACCCATCTGCCAGCAGTGGCGTGAACAAGTAGTTGCAGGGTCGCACCTTTACATTGAAATCGCTATATCTGTGTATTTAATATGCATCCGCAACAATTGCATACTTTTGATTTAAAGCTTTCGTGACTGCAGGGATTCATATTCTTGGTTCTTTCGGTAAAGTCACGTAGAAGGGAAACAATAAAATAATACAAATATAAAACAATAAAATTCCCTTCTACGTGACTTTACCGAAAGAACCAAGAGTATAATTGCATACTTGTTTTGTGCACAACGTAGCTTTGTATCCTGTGTTGTCTTAGGCCAATTTAAAGCTTCGTCCAGTGCGAGAGTTAAAACGTTACCGCCAGGAGCACGCGAATTATGTCACCGCTGTGACATTTTAAAACACGGCAGTGACCTTACGCAAGTGCTTTACACAGTGGCTTTACAGTCGTTTTCAAGATGATCAACATCGCTGCAGTGTCACTCGTACGCATTTTAAATACACCAAAACTTCAGGAACGTCGCTGGAGCGTTCCAGAGTGATTTTTAAGTGTCTATCTTTGCCATGACTGAGACTTTGACGTCGTTGCAGACATACCCGCGCCTCCGATTAGCACGGTTGGCTACGTACGGTGCGAAAGAGGTTCTACATACTAGAACATTGCCGAGGTACATATCTGCAAGATGAGCGCTGTTTTTTGTTGTTGTAAAGGCAACCACCACCTCCCAAAGAGTGATCCATGCGCATCTTCATCCACGCGTTGCCCCTCCAGGACTTGTGCGAGCCCCCTCACTGTCTCAGAACGGTACCCCCCACCCCACACCGGCACGGCCCTGCACAGTCATTGTTCCCTCGACACGCAATAGCTGGCTGCTTACCCCCTCCCAACCCCCACAGGTGTATGTGGGCCAGCGGAGAGAGCTCGTGACAGGTAACCTGATGCCCCCGCCGTGGGATCGGGTTTGTGAGAGGTACAAAGGCGGGCGAGGGGCCTGGCTGGGCAGATGGTGGGGATAACGTGACATGGACCCACAGTGGGTAGAGTTACTCAGTGGCATTAACAACAAAAAAAAACGCAACGCGACCGACCGAGTGACCGCCCTGAGTGGGAGACCTTCACTGCAAGGGACCCAATGTCCCGTTTGCTTTCGTGATTAAAACAAAAAAAAACACACCGGCTTAATGTGTCGATTCACAACGGCGCGGGTGTTAACGCGTCCTCGTGTATCGTGTTCTGAAAGGTCGAAGTCACGCATTGCTTGTATTCATATTTAATTTTGGTTTCCGCCGTCAAGTGGGTGGCACGGCGTCAGAGCGTGCGGATCGCGGTCGTGAGGTTGTGAGCTCAAATCCTGGCCGCAGGTTGGCCTTGGCTTTTCATCCGTCCAGGGTCGGTTAAAAGGGTACCGCTTTGCGGCAAGCCGGTTGTGGTTGTCCTATCGAGTGCCTCGCCACCGCCACAGGAATGTGGAATTGCCAGCAAGCGGCTCGGTAACTGTAAACGGAAGGGCGCTTCTCCGCGCTCGTTTCAGCGAGAAACCCCACTTGTCTCCCTGGCTTATGGGGGAGACCGTTGGGTGGCCTTCAGGTCAACTCGGCCTGAAACGAGCACCTGATACGGTGTTTTCCGAGGAAGGAAGCTGCGGCTCCCAGCCCCCAACCACGTCAAGTACGAGACCTTCAAACAAGCTTCCCCTGTGGGTTTTACGGAGCTAAAGAAAGAGCCCTTTCTCTATTCCTGCAGTCAGAATTTTTTTTTGAAACTAAATCCAGTAGGATTATGTTTAGAAGGTACCCGTAATTTTTTTTTCAAATAAACATTAAATTCAAATAAACTGAGTGTACGATTCAATTTGAATTGTAAATATGTACGGTGGCAATCGACGGCGGCGTCCGCTCAAATACGGAATGGAGGGGTAACTCACCTCTTTTGGCGATCCTGAACCAACATTGGAAAATCTACATTCATTATTTTAGTTATCTGTATTTGGTTTATTCACATCTTGCAGTCCACCTAATGTAACCTCAAGTAACTATCCCGAGATGGGCATACCGTGCATCGATACATGTAATGGGTTTTACGTGACACCCTCCAGCCACTAGGGGCCGCTACATTCACCCACATTGTTAAATGCTTATTTAATTGAATCGCACCCCTGATTGGGGACGATCATCGCGAGGTGGTTCGAATCGGTGCACCGGTTAATTCAGCGCAGAATCATTGCGTCTGCGTCGCACTGCAGCAGTGTGGTTGTGGATTCCTTCCATTCCTCCCCCTCTTGGTGGCTGCTCGTGCTGCTGCTGCTCAGCTTCATTGGATGGTGGCGGGGGATGGGGAAAGGGGGCTACATTTTATTGTTTTGACCCTCTAAATGCTAGCACATGGCCAAGCAAAACAAGCCGACTTCTGTGCCAGAGCCTGCCATTATACATCTTGAAAAGGCTCTGTTTCCTCAAGCCTTCTGTTTAACCAACAAACCAACCCCTGTGCTTCCATAACGATGTTTGCAATACGTTTACGCAGCAAAAGCTGACAGTTTATAGTGCAATAAAAAATAAATCGAGTTGCCGTGTTGAGTCGCGGTGAGGAAGCCCCAAA